CCAGCGTTCTAACATGTCCCCCGTGTTCTAATGTGTCCCCAGAGTTCTAATGTGTTCCCCATGTTCTCATGTGTCCCCAGCACTCTAACGTGTCCCCAGTCCCTAGCGTGCTAATGTATCCCCAGGGTGCTAACGTGTCCCCAGAGTTCTGACACATCCCAGCATTCCAACATGTCTCCAGGGTTCTAATGTGTCCCCAGAGTTCTAACGTGTCCCTGCTCCTACAGGTGCAGGGTTGTGGGCCCTCGTTCCTAAGCAGAGATCTCAGGCTCCCTGAGGCCCAGACTCTGGGCCCGGATCCGAGGCCAGCTCACTGTGACCTGAGTCAGGCCGCTCCATTTTTGGGTCTGACAGCGGCATTTCCAGGTTACAAAGATGAGCGCTTTGTAATGCGTGGCCTGCACAGTACCATCCGCCAGTTCCAGGCGGTTCTGTGGAAAAGAGGTCAGCTGAAGAGTTTGGCTTCGCTTAGCTCACTGCTTTTCCCAGGGGCGGGACTGTGGAACCCTCCATGAAGGTTCGCAACCCCTCCTGGGGTCCCCCGCATGGGCAGCCTAAGGAAAATGCCTTGGAGTGGGCTGGACCAGGCCACTGTCACGGTCCCTCCCATCCGGAGCATCCGGGGGCTCCCGGTGAGGCCAGCCAGTAAGTTCCAGGGTGTGCCCCTCCCTGTGAGTGTGGCGCTTGGCTGCGCTGGGCCAGGAGGAGGCGATTGGGCTCATGATAGGAGCCTCTGCTGGGCGCTGTCCTCTGCACTGTCCCGGGACCACCCCACGCTCTGGGCCGCCTCCCAGAGCCACCTGGGGAAGCTTCCTGGGCCTTGACCTCAGAGCAGGAGTTAGACCTGCTGTCCTCAGGGTGGGGCATTGGGAGGACTCCAGACCCCCACGGCTGATTTCCAAGCTCTGGAAAAAGAGAGTAGCCAGAGACTCCATGATGGGATTCAGAAAGGCCTTTGGTCATTCTGGAGGCTTCTGTCCAACCCAGATGAGTTATCCCTACACTGCTGCTTCTCCATGAGTCAAATGTCGCATGCGCGCTGGACACGTGCGGGCCTCTGATGATGAAAGCCTTCTAGGCAACCTGGCGCTCCCTTCCAAAGGGGAGGGATGTTTTTAATCATATTAAACCAAGAGGTAGAGCTTGGAGCGGCTCTGACAGGACATTACGATGACATCAGGCTGGGAATGCCGTGAAAGTGAATCACGGCTTAATGTGTTTTCATTAGGAAAATTGAACCAGCGACTGCAGAGGGAAGGGTGTTCCCTTCCTGCGCTGGGGCTGGGGACTGAGACCGGGGGACAGCCGTGTCTCCTGAGGGGAGGGGGTCGGTCTCTGCTCTGAAATTCAGTGGGAAACCATCTGCACCAACCGGGTGTAGATTTGGGGGACAAGAGGCAAGCCTGCTCCTGAGTGGGGAGTCAGAGGTCCTTGTATGAAGGGGGAAGGGATGGAAGTCTCTCTGCTTTGGGAGACACTTTCCCGTTCTCTCAAGGGCAGAACCACCAGGGAACTTGGAATCAGAGGAGAATTTAGGGAGAACGAGGCCATTTTCACATCTGAGCTGAAATCTTGCATCCCATGTAACATCAAATCTTTCTTCCTGGTGGACTCACATCTTATCAGCGCGAGGGAGGCTAGGATGGTGTGAAAGAGTCCCTTGGGTGTGGCCAACATGGCCCCCCAGTCACAGAAGGCTTGCCACCAGCTCTGTGGGACCCCAAGCCTATGCCCCTGGATTTCTTGTCCTTGTAAAGAGCAGAATACACTGCCATATTCCAGGAGGAGATGCATGTGAACGTCTCTGAGAACAAATCTCCAAGAAGGCTCCCTCCTGCCTCCCCAAGCTCCCTGGGCTAGGAATCCCTGGCAGCGCAGGCTCTCTGCCCTCCAGAAGGAGCCCGGGCAGCCTAGGACCCTCCAGCCTGCTTCTCCCCACAATGCCCTGTATGTTTCCAAAGCCCAGAAACATCTGGAACATTGAAGGTAGGTGTTAAGGAAAGGAAACAGTTCCCTGTTCCCCCTTCACTGCGTGCTGGATAATTCCCCTTACGCTAGGCGGTCCTGCTCCCGCCCGCCTGCTGCAGCTGCTGGGCAGGGAAGTTTTGGAGAGTTTTTCTTTTTTTTAAGTGAGTACCCCTCCCCCTCCAAGAGTGCACACCGTGCTTGGTGACCTGCTTCCAAAGATTCTGGAAAGGAGCAGGACTGTCTTCCCAGTGACAGCACCTGGCAAATGTCCCTGGCAAACACTATTCAAGGTCAGCTTCGGCAGGGAGGGGTCCTGTTGAGAGCAGGTGCCCTGGGCGTCCTGTAAGAGGAGGGCTTCCCCCAGAACATAGAAGGCTGGTCACATCACGGGACACACTTCAGACCGATCAGTCAATGAAGAGGAGCTTTCTATGCAGTCCCTGACCAGTCCTCCATGGAACTGTCAAGGTCATCAGCCACAGAGAAAGTCTGAGAAACCCTCACAGCCCAGAGGAGCCCATAGAGACGCGATGACTTGCTGCCATGTGGATTCGGATGGGTTCCTGGGACTGAAAAGGACGCTAGGTGAAATCTAGGGAAGCTCAAGCCACGTGTGTCATTCCTGGTCATGTAGCATGATGCTGTGCCATGGTGGCCAAAGGTGTGTCTCTTGAGAGGAAACTGGAGATGAGTTGCCAGCAACTCTCTGGGCTCTTTGGGAATTTTTTGGAATATCTTCAACAATTCTGAAATGAAAAGCTTTTTCGAAGCAAACCAATAGAGATAGGGTGGGAGTTGGGAAGCCTCTGGACATGGGTCGCTGGGGACCGAGGGGTAGACCCTAGGCCCCCGGGGAAGGGAGGTCCACCTCCGGGGTGGGGCCTTCCACAAAAGAGCATGGACTTAACAAAAAGCCAACGGCACCGCTGTGTCGTAGAACAAATGCGTCTGTGTCTATTCCTTCTGCTTTCCGGGGATGGGTTGTCGTGGTGCCCTGTGAATTACATTGATCACGGAAGCATGGGTCTTCTTCACTGGGGAGGAGGAGGCCTCAGAGCCCACCTGCCCCAACTCACTGGTAAGAATGACAGAAAAACGGGATGGGATGATAGAGCAGGAAGCCACAAGCCCAGGCCCGGCTAACTTCATCAAACACACATCCTTCCCTCGGGCCCCACAGCCAGAGAACGACAGGGCCTGGAGGAGTCAAGGGAAGTGGGTGTCTTTGTGGAAGACCTGGGGTGGGCTGGCCACGGGCACAGATCCCGTCCCACCCTGAAGGTTCTGGGCTGTTGCCCGGTGGAACAATTCCAGTTCTCCCTACGCCGGTGCTCCCACCAGGCAGACACCAGCTGCTCCCAGGAGGCTGACGCAGCAGGCGTGCGGCCCAAGGAAAGGTTCAGCTGTAAGTGGAAGAGATGTCTTTGTCCCCTTAATTGACAGTGATTTTCTTCTGTGAAGAAAATATACAGAAGGTAGTGAATTGAATCTCAATTCAGCAAATGTTATTAAACTGTTCTTGGGGAAAAAAGATTTCAATAAAAATTTAAAAGGAAGAGAAGCAAGAAAGCCACAAACTAGAAAATAAAGTGAGATGGAGCGGTCGCTCCCCGTTTGGAAGCAGCTGGATGGCGGCCGGCCAAGGAGTGTTGTTCCCCATTTGAAAATCACGGAAGCTGTTGAGAGGGAGCTGCCCTCACCCCTTCTTGAAGGGTGTGGATGTTGTTCTCAGGTGCTCAGGCAGGGCCTTGTCTCACGTTCAGGGTGTCCCAGCAAGGACTGGGCGGTTGAAGCCAAAGTCTCCATGGCTTCCCCCTGCTCACATGCCTGCAGCTCTGGGGCTGCCCTGCCTTCCACCCATCCGCCAGGGCCAGGATTAGGGTGCCATGCCACGCACCACACATGATCCCCCAACCCTTGCACACATTCCTTTTGATTCGTGTTGGAATATAATTTACATTGCAAAAAACTCACCCACTACAAGCGTACAGTTTAGTGGGTTTCATATGTGCATGGCGTTGTTCACCCAATTCCAGGACATTTCGTCACCCCAAAAAGAAACCCCATACCCCAGAACCCTTCTCCCAAGCCTGGGGCCACTGCTCATCTTTCTGTCTCTATGGATCTGCCCACTCTGCATTTCCTGTAAATGGAACCGTGCGCCTCGTAGCCTTGAGTGCCTGGCTTCTTTCACTTCTCAGGGTTTTCAAGGTACAGCCCCATCGAAGCATAAGATCAAGTAATCCCTCCGTGGTTTTAAAGGCTGAGCAACACTCCATTGTATCATTAGGCCAGATTCCCTGTATCCGTCCCTCAGCTGATGGACACGTGGGCTGTGTGAGCTTTGGCTGTTGGGAGGAGTGTGGCCCTGGGCCTCCACGTGCAGGTTTCACGTGGACAGATGCCCATGCCTCAGAGGGGGCAGCTGGGTCGCTGTAATGCCATCTTTAGGGTTCTAATGAATTGCCAAACTGTTTTGCCCAGGGGCATTCTGGGTTTCATTCCCCCCAACAGGGTACTAGGCCTCCCGTCTCCTGTGTCTTCACCAACGCTTCGTGTTGTCTGTCTTTCTGCTCGGAGCTGTCTCTCTGGGTGTGACGTGGGTGGTGTGTTCTTAAGGGGCCTATGGATGCTTGAGTTTGGGGGACCCGGTGCCACTTCTGCCCACCCTGACCTCCTGATGGTTGGCGGTGTGGTCGGCTGTGCTGCAGGGACTCCCTCCCAACGAGTGTGGGGGTGCCTGCCATCTTAGTGAACGCCTGACGGCTTCCTGGGGTGAGGCCCTGCCAGAACCTGTTCATCACAGAATGAGAGACGCTCAGAGCCCAGCCCAGGCTGAGAAGGATCAGCGAGAAGAGTGGTCCTGGCTCTGCCTCATCTCAGAGCTGCCCGAGGGGTGACGACAGAGATTGTTTGTGCTGCTCCCCGGTCCCTGCAGATACAGCCAGATCCTCCTCCGGCTGTGGCCTCTCATCAAGGCGTCGGCAGGAGTCCCAGGACCAGGTCCGGGCAGCACACGGAGCTCGGCCGGGCGATGGCCACACAGAGCCTGGGACACTCTTGGCCTTGCACCAAGATGAGCGGAGACCCCTACAGATCTCCCTGTGGGAGGGGCTCCCCCTGCCCCCCACATTTCTTGGCTGCTGGCGGTGGGCTGGGGCCTGTCTCCTGGTTGTCCACCTTCTTTTTTTTTCCTCTCTGAACAAATAAATCACTTAAAAAGGAAGAAACCGGACTCGAAGAGGAAAAACAGATCAACCTCTCCCTGCCACCGTGGCAAGTGGTTGGTTTTTCTGCATAACAGCTGGGCGGCTTGAAGGCGAGGGGGTTTCTATAGTAACCAATTACAGCCATGATCGGTGAAAAATCACAGATAGATCCTGCGTGTGAAGTTATGCCGGGGAGGAAGGCACAGGCTTGGGTGCTATGGGTTTAGCTTCCTGGGGCAATGTTTCTCTTAAGTACTGATGGCAGGCAGGTTCTAAGCCCGCCGGGGCGGGGGATGCTGCTGGGGCCTCGATGGAGCTTGGTGGAGTGTGGTGGGGTCTGATGAGGCCTGGTAGACCATGGTGGAGTCTGGTGAGGCCTGGTGAGGCTTGGTGAGACTTGGTGGGGCCTAGTGAGGCCTTGCACCCGCTCAGAGCAGCGTCTCATCTTCCTGGGGGCTAGACTCACACCCAGCATGCAGGTCATGGGAGAACTAGAGATTCTAAGCCAGCTCCCTCACTGGGTCACCTGTAGCCACAGAGGAGTTACCTTAGGGTGCATGTGGGGGAATTTAAGTCTGTCCCAAATCTTTCTGTGTGGTGGTGGCGGTCCTGGTCCCTGCCCGAAACTGGCTGCTAGCGCAGAGACACTGCACGCCGGCAGAAACACGGGGTGAGGATTAGCATGATGAGGAGCTCCCCGTGTCTGCAGCAAAGTACCTCCGTTCTCATTAAAAAACTGGAAAAAAAAAAAAAGCCAAACAAAAGGAAAAAAAAAACTGAAGTCTTATTGTTTGGGGATTAATCCTTTTTGGTAAATAGCTCTCAGTAGCAAGAGTTTCTCTCTCACCATCGTGATGAGCAGGGGGCCATCTGTTCCCTAGATATCAGAGTCAGCCCTGGGCACGAGGGTTTCGGTACTGAATGGAGGGTGTGCCCACAGGGACACATTCACACACAGCTACAGCTGCACTCTCCCATGCAGACACACACAGACACACTCACACATAGAGCCTCCAATATGGACACTCAGACACACTTGCCCACTCACACAGGGACACGCAGACACAGTTGTACACACACACCCCAATACCCACAAATACGCAGATACTCTCACACAGACACAGACACACTTGCACACTCACACAGGGACGCACAGATACACTTGCACACACACATACACCACCACACACAAATACACAGATACTGTCACATAGACCTGCACACTCACACAGGGACACACAGATACAGTTGCACACACACACACACAAATACACACACAGACACACACAGGGACACACAGATACAGTTGCACACACAGGGACACAGTTGCACACACACACAACACCACACACAAATACAGATACTTACACAGAGACCACTTGCACACTCATATAGGGACACATACACTCATACACACTGACACACAGATGCACTCACACACTTCTGAGCTGACACACATGGACATAGTCACGCAGCAGTACACTCACACACACACACCAAATACACACAGGCACCCTGGCCCTCACCACACAGTCTCTCACACTCGTGGACACACCCCAGATGCGTCTTTACACTCATGGACGCCGGCTCACTCTCACACTGGCACACTCACACAGCTGGACTCAGGCGCACACGCTCATATCCAGTCATACACTCTCACATATTTATGCATGCCTACACGCACACACACTCACACACTTCCATGCACGCATCACAAGGACACACACAGCTGCCTTCTTTCCTGAAGCCACTCACTGCCTTATACAGAAAAACTCTACCCAACTCACTTTCCCGGCCTGGCTCTGAGCGGCTCATCAGGCTGGCGCTTGGCACCTGAACACCCTCGCGCCCTCCACCTGCACCCCACCCAAGGCAGTCATTACAGTTTTGGGATTCATTTTAACTTTCAGACGTGAGGCTGGTGATGAGAGCTGACTTTGAATGACACCTATAATCAGTCCTCAATTATCTGTGCTGGCGGAAGAGGGAGCGTGGGCCTGGCTCCTCCGAGCCCTTCCACGTGGCTCTCTGCCGCGCCCTGGTTTTCACGTGACACCGGAGCGTCCACTGGTCCGGAAGCGACCCAGGCCTGGTGACAGAGCCGCTCCGGGTGAACTGGGGAGGGACCGCTCAGCAGACCAAGGCTTTGCCCTGCCCATCCTGGCCTCTCCCCTGCAGCCCTGCAGCTTGGAGAGGCAGCCCCGCCCCGCTTCGAGGTCGCCCGTGTTTGCCCTTTCTCCAGCCCTCCTGGGAGCTGAGGAGGTGGATAACAGGGTTTCAAAGGGCACCGGAGCTGCAGATAAACAGGGGGAGCGGAAATGTCAACAGAACAAACACTTCGGGTCAATAAACTTTCAGCTTATCCAGAGCAGATCTCATTTCCCTGAGTACCATCCAGGGGAGGCTAGAAGCAAGAAGCTTTTCCATGTACTGCATTTCAAGCAATGCCTGTTTACATACAATACGCATGCCGGGCTCTGGGTGAGGGCCGGGGGAGGGGGTGGTGTTTGCAAGGTGCAAGGGCCTGGCAGGCGTAGGTGCCAGGAAGCATCTCCCGCTCACGCTGGGAGCCTGAGACCTCTGCCCCCCAAGACTTGGGGAGAGGGGCTTCTCCAGTGGGCAGGAGGTGGCCTGGGCTATGCAGAGGAAAGCACTTGCCTTGGGGTCCGAGGCAGAGGCCGGCGTCCGGTTCTGCCACCCTCTCAGTTACGTCATAGGATGGGCAAAAGGAAGGAGGGACTCCAGGTCTTTTCAGACCTTGTCAAGGCTGACCTGGAAGGCTGGGGGTTTCTGAGGCTCGGTTTGCCCTCCCGTGAAGTGGACTGTCCGGTGAGCAGCCGAGCTGTGTGTGGCAGGCGCCCAGCCCCGCGGTGCCGGGAAGCAGCTCCCCGCACCCTCCACCCTGCACCGGCTTTCCAGGTCTGATGAACAAACCGCACGTGAGTCAGCCTTTGAAGTAAAGGAAGGAAGGGTTTCGGCTTGCCTTCTGAAGTGAGGAGGAGCTCTTTCTGGAAGAGAAGAGCGACCTTGTCACAGTGAGGGCTGGAGAGGGAGGGCCCCGGGGCCCAGTCCCCGCGCTGGGCGTCCACTGACCGGTCTTCTCTTCTTCCCCCCGCACAGCTCCATGTCCATCCGCTGGCCGGGCCGCCCCCTCGGAAGCCATGCCTGGATACTGATAGCCATGTTTCAGCTCGCCGTGGACCTGCCCGCCTGCGAGGCCCTGGGACCGGGCCCCGAGTTCTGGCTCCTGCCACGGTCGCCGCCCCGGCCGCCCCGGCTGTGGAGTTTTAGGAGTGGACAGCCAGCGCGGGTCCCGGCCCCTGTGTGGAGCCCCCGGCCGCCCCGCGTGGAGCGGACCCACGGACAGATGCAGGTGTCCCGAGCCAGACGGGCTCACAGGCCTCGGGACCAGGCGACCGCCCTTGTGCCCAAGGCAGGACTGGCCAAGCCCCCAGCTGCGGCCAAATCCAGCCCTTCCCTTACCTCGTCGTCCTCGTCCTCGTTGTCCACGGTGGCCGGGGGGGGCCCCGGAGCAGCAGGCCCTCCTGAGGCGGGGGAAGAGGCACCTGCAGGAGGACGGTCTTGGCAGCTTCGACTCCAGAGGCAGCCGGCCCACCACAGAGACTGAGTTCATCGCCTGGGGGCCCACGGGGGACGAGGAGGGCCTGGAGTCCAACACACTTCCGGCCATCTATGGCCCCACCACGGTCTCCATCCTACAGACGCGGAAGACAACAGTGGCCGCCACCACTGCCACCACCACGGCCACCCCCATGACGCTGCAGACTAAGGGATTCACCGAGTCCCTGGATCCCCGGAGAAGGATCCCAGGTGGGCTTAGCACAACAGAGCCTTCCACCAGTCCCAGCAACAGTGGGGAAGCCACCCAGCCCCCAAGGATTCTGGGGGAGGCCTCAGGTATGGCCGTCTCTCTTCTAGTTTGGGTTTGCTTGGGGTTGAGGGCTGGGGGTGTGACTCAGGAGAGAGGCTTGCATGTCCCAGGGGTGATGTCACATGCGGAGACCCCGAGACAGATAGAAGCATGATGTATCCACAAGCTTGCACGCGCGTGTAGACGGTTAGATACACACTGTGCCCTAGAGGAAGCGCGCTGTGAGAAGGGAGAGTTTCCCGCCTGAGTATGCACCTAGAAGTGGGCGCTGCACCCCTCGTACCTCTGTCAGGGACCAGCCAGATCTGCCAGGTGCTCCTCCCCTCCTGCCTCTGGTACGGAGTGGCGGAATCCCCCACACAGAGCCATGGCTTCCAGAATCATAGAATCTAGTCTCTGGGGCCGGCCCAGGGAGTAAGAAGCTTGCTTGTCTCGTGACAGAGTAAAGGATTCCCCGCTCAAGGAGTCTCCAAAAGCCTTCAAGGGTGTGGGACCCGTGAAGGGGCATGGTGCCTGCCAATTTAACCTCAGTTGAGGATCAGGAATGACCTTAAATAGCAAGAAAGACCAAGGCCAGGTAAAAGGAAGAACTTCCAGTCGTGTTAACAGAAGCTTCCCAGACAGTGATTTGGGTGGCAGCATTCTGCTCCCTGGGGAGGGGTGAGGAGGGTGTTGGGAGAATGGAGATGAGAACACAGGGCCTTGGAAAGGGCTTTGGCTTCCTGCTGCTTTACCCTAGCTGCCTGTGGACACACACTGGTCGTTGGCTTTGGATATCTCCTTCCATGCAGTTCTGCTGTTTTTTATTTTCCTCCTATACATTGTCCTGCATTTGCTTTGAAAGGAGTCGCCCTTGGAAAGGAAGCCTTGTCCCTGAACTGGCAGCCTGCACTGATGTCACCAGGCTTCAAGGCAGGCCTGCAGGGGAGAGCTCAGCACCCCGGGCCCCCGTCACCCTCACCTCCCTCCAGTTTTCTTTGCCCTGTTAACAGGCACAGCCCAATGTGCCAGGCTGGCCCAAAAGTTCACAACTCAGATCTGTGCGTGCACATTCTAGACAAACAGCAGCATTTGCTAACTGTAAAATCCGATGCAGGTTTCAGGGCGTCAGTGCAAAGTGGGTGGGGGCGCCCTGTGGCCTCACCCCTCACTTTTCACACCCTCGGGCTTGTGGGCTCCGTGGGACCCACCCAGGCCTCTGCAGAATCCAGGGGAGGGAAGACAACGGTTCTTCGGAGTTCACCTGCAGGCGGCCGGCACGGCAGGCAGCCAGGCCCTCTGCGTCCTCGCTAGGCTGCGTCCTGGCCCGGGCTCCTCCGCGTCTCGGGCAGGCAGGCACCGGGCAGTTGCTGGACAGGTTTTCCTGGGGTGGGCGGCTTTTGTCCTTCAGCCGGTGACCTACTTTCTTCCTTCACCTGGACAACAGAACCTGCGCTTTTTATTCTGAGCTCCTCTTCCCTAGAGAGCAGTGTTTCTATGGAAGCACAGCCTGAGCTCCCTGAGGATGCTGGGGGCTGTGCCTGGAGGTGGAGGCTGTGGGCTTGGGAGAGGCTCTGGAGGAAGAGGCTCCGGAGGCCCTGCACCGGCTACCTCCCACGCAGCCTCTTTTGGGAATCCACGGACACACGGGGCCTGCAGTTCATCTTGCACCCTTAGGTGCCTGCGAGGAGTTTACAAAGCATTGGTTTTTAGTTCCGTAAACTCAGCAGCCATCATTATAATAGGATTTCGTGCTACGCTTCCTTAGTGTCACCTCCTCTGTGTATGTCACTTACTATATAGACACGGATGAGGAGACAATTTCCCATTTATTCCAAATTACATTTGTTATTGCTAAAGTTAAACACCCGGGACAGCGTTATAGGCTTAGCAAATTAATTCATAGTGCATTGGAGGTTGCTAATCCATCTCGACAGATGCTTATCTTGGAAACAATTTATGGTTCTTCATAATATAATCTGGTGCTAGATTAATTTGTTTAACAAAACAAATCTAAAAAGAGGAAAATATGTGTGTTTGCTTCTAATGCAGAGAAATGTGAATTCTGGAGAGACGCCGGCCGTGGGGACGGGAGCAGGTGGTTTACAGTAGCGCTCGTCAGGGCCGGGCCGCGGTCATGAGCTTCCAGGCCCGGGCAAAGGGACGAGAGGAAATGCGGGGATGATTCCCCTAACTAGGTTCCTCATAGCTCAGCAGGTACCATGTAAATGAATTAGACCAGAGCAGGAGCAGTTTAGGTTAGACACTAGGAAGAACCGTCTGGTGATGCAGGAGGTGAGCTCTTTGCTTAGGCTACTGAGAACAGGCTGCATCATCTCCTTTTCTGGAGCCTCCAAGTAAACGGGATTTGGGAAGTGAGGAAGAAAACAACTGTTTAAGCTTCCCTGGATGGAAGGAGTGGTGGGACAGAGGGCTGAACTCCCTGGCACCCCCTTGCCTTGGCAGTCATCAGATGTAGACCTGAGCCCCCTACAGTTGGTGGAACGTGGACACTACTCACACTCCTCAGACACCTAAGACAGCAGGAGTGATCTCGAGGATCCAGAGCTGCAACCTAGGAGGCCATACATTGCTGTAGTTAGTTAGCAGGTGCCCTGAGACTGAAGATCTGGGTGAGAATCTGGGCTCTGTTGCATGTCACTGTGTGACCCTGGAAAAGGTCTCTTCTCTCCTGATTTCCTTTCCTTCACCAGCAAAATTGAGGCTTAGAAATATTTTTCCTAAGCGGTTGCTGTGAGAGTTTAGAGGATCAACACTGAGTATAAAATATGGCACCTGGCACTGAACAATCCTCCATTCTCATCCGTTGCTTTTATACCCAGCAAGAGTGGCCTGAGGACGACAGGGTTGCCTGTGTCAGAGGCAGAACAGGTTGCCAGGAACTTGGGAGTCTTACCATCTCAGACACAGCCAGCTTTGCTATGGAGCACCCCAAAATTTGAAATTGGAGTTATAGGAGGTGCATGAAACATCCATTAAGTGAGTTTTACCTGTCCAAAAAGGGAACTTTGGTATCACCTTTCGGAATGTGTAAATTTTATTTTTGCTTCTGCAGAGAAATATTTAGAAGGGACATGTCCTATTTTTCTATCTGTCTATAGCACAGGTATGGCTAGGCACAGAGAAGACAGGTGGCTAGTGATCTGGGGCACTCTGAAATTTCTCAGGAAGTATCATTACTTGACATAGCTGATGGAATGATTAAAGGGGTCCCTTTAAGGATTTACCCTGCCTATAAAGCAATTGGGAAATCTCTTTGAGTTTCGGGGTAATGGTTAAGAGTCCCACTGCCTGCCTTCAGATTCCTGGCTTCAGCTCATGATCACTGTGTAAATGTGGGCAACTTGCTTGTCCTCTCTGTGCCAGTGGGAGTGATAGAGTTAACAATCTCACAATATTGTTGTAAAAATTCAGTGAGACAGAGCGTGCCAAGTACTCAGTGCCTGGCACAATAGCAGTGCTCAGTATGTGCCTGCTGCTGTAGATATAAGGATGTGTATATATAAGGATGGTGATGGTGATGATGATGGTGATGGTTACGAAGGTGGTGACAGTGATGATGAGGATGATGATGATGGACATGGAGATGATGATGATGATGGTGATGATGATGGTAATGGTGGAAATGGTGATGATGATGATAGTGAGATGATGATGGTGATGATGTTGGTATTGATGATGATGGTGATGATGGTAATGGCAGAAATGGTGATGATGATGATAGTGATGATGTGGGTATTGATGATGATGGTGATGATGATGATGATAGAGATGGTGATGATGGTAATGGTGATGATGATGGAGATGGAGATGGTGATGATGGTGATGGAGATGATGATGATGGTGATGGAGACTATGATGATGGTGATGGAGATGATGATGGTGATGATGTTGGTATTGATGATGATGGTGATGATGATGGTAATGGAGATGATGATGACGGTGATGGAGATGGTGATGATGGTGATGATGTTGGTATTGATGATGATGGTGATGGTGATGATGATGGAGATGATGATGGAGATGGTGATGATGGTAATTGAGATGATGATGATGGTAATGGAGATGGTGATGATGGGGATGATGATGGTGATGGAGATGGTGATGATGGTGATGATGTTGGTATTGATGATGATGGTAATGGTGATGATGATGATGGAGATGATGGTGATG